GGGCGGTCACTGATGATGTCATTTGGCACCGGTACCATTTTTTACGCCAGTGGAAAACCGACATGAAAGAAGTACCAAACTTTCGGCACTTCATGGAAGTACCGAAAGTACCAAAAGTACGGTACCTGGTGCGGTGGAAAAACGCCCTATGTTGTGCAGATATATGGAAAAAAGTATAATCCTCTCTTAATTAAATATGCTTCATTAAACACCAAATAGTCTTTTTGGACAACAGCAGAAGGATATTTTCGGTAACTGGGCTGCCTGTACCGAAAAGCCATGTTCTGTTCTGAATGGATTAAGCCATTAGGTGACTGGTACCCACCTCGCTGGCCGGCAGTGAAGCGTGCCGGGGCCTCACATGTGCGTCTATTGATACTGCCAGAAATAGGTTACCATCGGCGCAATACATTGCAGGTCTTTCTAATGTGAAAACTTTCACTTGTGTCTTTAAATCCAGGTGTGTGTATTTATGGTAAAACTGCCTGACTGTGCTTGTTATTCATTACTTGTTCCTTCAGTAGTTCCTTCAGTAGTTCACAAGGGTTTACATAATTAAAAGATATAGTATGAAATATAATAACTGCTTGAGATAAAATATGCATCATGATTCATTAATGATGAATTAACATGAGATCAGTATGTAACTAAGACTTAATTTGTGGTTAATTAATACATATTCTGAGTAAGAGCTTAATACTACAGTAAAATCCCGTTATAGTGGACTCGCTTATAACGGAATATAGTTTATAACGGACAAGGTCCGCTGGTCCCAGCCGTGCGCCTTTAAGAACATGCATAAAAAGCGTTGGATATAGAGGACTCGCATATAACGGAATTTCGCTTGTAACGGACAAACAATTTGGTCCCCAGGGCCGCTTTTAGCTGTAGTTTTGTTTGGCTATAACAGACATGCAGGCTCCGCCTACAAGGTGCGAGGCGTGCCTGTGATATCCAGCGCAGATACGTAGTCGGGATTATTAATAGTCTCACATATGGTCAGATAAAGTTGGATTACTACGTGTACAATATTCACAGTATTTGTACAATACTGTTTTGCCAGGTCCCTTGAAGTCCGTTATAACGGGAGTTTACTGTATATTATTTGTGCCTCGTAAAGTAAAGTGTTACCATATTTATTTTTCTTCATTATAGAATATAATGTATAATATCAAATAGTGCCCAAGAGAGTTCCCCTTGTGTTTTAAGACCAGTTATGGTGAAATACAGGCAAATATGTTGTTAATAACCGCTGTGTGGACAAGAAACCAAACTCAGCCGTGATTCAGCCTCAGGTGCTGACATCATGGACTTGCCCCATCCACTGTAAAAGAGCACAGAGCTAGGATGATTCTCCAGAATCCAAAAAACTGATAAGTCCACTTCATTATTAATGTTCTAAAACCAAAGTATCACCAGATACTGCAGAAGTTGGCCTCTCAGTAGTGTACAGGTACCCAAAACAGGAGTGATAAATAATAACATAAAAAGTTGCTTATTCCGGGCTAGTGGGGTGGAGCAGCTGACTTGGCAGTCGGAGAGTGACAGCTGGTCACCCCAGGAGGTCATAAACAAATTGCTAAAGAACCTGTCAGACTGGGAACTTAATTGACGAGTGATGGAATCGCTTAGGGCTTGAACTTGTAGCACCTCAACTAGTCCCTGTGGTGGATTTGATTGCATGCATGGAATCAGCTATACTTAACAACATGGTATTGGGGGATGTGGCAGAATGATGACTAAGAGTCTCCACTTTTTTACTTAAAGTAAAAGACATGGGAGATCATGGTGTCATGCCATCACATCACTAGTCTCTTTATATCACACAAGTGGAAAAAAACGTGGCTACCAGAACAGGGATAAACCTAGATTAAGCATGTTCCCTACTTGACCAGTGTCTTAACAGCACCTATTTTAAGTGCAAGGGCATATTCCATAGACAAAAATAGGACAGGGGCTCACTGGTGTCTTCCAACTCCTATATCTAGAGGTGGAAAAGAGCCTTAGATACCTTCCAGGGAATGGCATCAAACCACCCAGTCAGATATGTCGGTGATCCAAGGGTAAAGATTTGTAGACTGGGATTTAAATAATAGCTAGAAATTTGAAGTATGGTATTACTACATGTAAGGTAAACCACACCCTTGTTTTCTATGTTCTATGTTAAGTACCTTAACCAGCATGATGTGAAGGACTCATTACACAGGAGGCCTCTAATCTGTGATTGTGTCTGGCAGGTTTCTGCAGCCAGTGCAGAAGATTGACATGAACCTGACTGACCTCCTTGGGGAGCTCCAGCGGGACCCCTGGCCTGTTACCCAGGGCAAAAGGCCGCTGAGATCCCTAGGAGTGGCTCTGTCAATAGCTGTAGGCTTGCTGGAGGTATGGTTTCTATACCTTTCTTTATCCTGTGTGTGTTTACGCCTACATGTTAGTCTGTTTGAAGACTAAGGCCCAATCCCATTTCTCCTCCCTTAGCCCTACCACTAGATTTCGAGGGCTCTCCCTTCCGAAGTTGACTTCACAGATCGTAGCCACAAGGGGTAGGGCTTGGAATCTTTACCTAGGAATCGGGACACCACTCACTTATGAGCTGCCTGGTTTGCTCGGGAGTCCCTGGAATAGTACAACATGCTTATAACACGGACAAGTCACTTTAACATTACAACATGATTATACCACTGACGTGTCCCTAGAATATTACAAAATGATTATGACACTGTCGATTTGTGGATTAGCATTCCTTTGGCAATGGTACGCAGATTTAAAATTAAGCATATTGCATGCAATATTTCTATAAAACATGCACACGTTTTGTATAAACAATGTGTTTATGTTGCATAAACAATATGTCAGGAACAATGTCTTTTACATTTTCCACGATGTAGAATAATGCACTTAGAAGACTATTGCACGAAACACAGAAAACAATCGGGGGTGAGTTTCCCAAAAGTGTCGTAGCCAAAAAACTACATAAAAAGGACTTTGAATGCTCTCTTTGAATAAATACGTTCTTAATTCTTCGAAGGTTTTGTGAAACTCACCCCTGCTTGGTTCTTTTTCTATAAATACTAGAGAATACTGCTCTGTCTCTACGCACGGAATTAGCGGTTTTCAGAAAATTGTTTTTGAAAAATTCAACCTCCATACTCCGTTTCACTTTTTTTTTTTTTTTGCAAGCGTATTTATAAAGATATGAGCTTCTTTCCCCACACCGCTAGCCATCTTTTCTTTTCTTTTTGTGTATTGCAATGCGTTGTGGGAATTTTCTTCTTTCACTCGGTTTTGAGTCAGCATCTGAAAAATCTCCGTTTTGAGGGCTATCTTGAGGGCTGAACACCACTACCCCTCGCCACTAAAAAGAAATGGGACAACACTACCCTACGCGGGTACGCACAAAACGGAGGGGTAGGGCTAAGGGGGGGTATTGGGATTGGGCCTAATACTAGCCTAACCGTAGTGGTTGTAGAGTTGGTAAATTAATCTCCTTTTAATTTCAATTGCGCTTTTGGCTTCCAACAATGTAAAAAAACATTAAGATAAAACAATTATTTTGCTTCACTCTGGTGTTCCTGTTTTGTCTTTTGTTATAAGAGCACCCATTTTCCGCCCCTTTTCATTTGTTTCTTAGTTGAATTTTATTTAGAGTTTAAAAGAAATCCACTGTTTAAAAGACTTTTTTTCCCCCAAAGTCAATGATCATGATCTCAATATTGACCATATTAATCGTGGTTATGATTTTTGCCCTAATCGAGCAGCCCTAGCTGGTTGTCATAATAACCATAATTATTTTTGTTCCCCTGTCACTCCCCCTCCTCGCTGTAGTGCACCTTCCCGAACACTGGGGCTCGTATTATGACTTTCATTGGTGGGCCGGCCACCCAGGGCCCTGGCATGGTGGTGGGGGATGAGCTGAAGAGCCCCATCCGCTCCTGGCATGACATCGAGAAGGACAATGCCAAGTTCGTGAAGAAGGCCACCAAAGTATGTCCCAGTTCGTATGGGTTCTAATGTGAGAGCTCTTTAAACACAGTTGTGGTGTGTTTAGTAGCATTGCTACATATCAGCGCTACTTACACGATATGTCTACCAGTTATTGCTTTAATTGTTGGTATTACTTAGGGCTGCACAATATCATATCTCGATTATATGCGCAATAACAACCAGGGCTTTAGATGACAGGTATAAACATTTGTCTGGACGCTGTCTTTTCGGTTCTATACGGACATTTACTTGCACCCACAATTTGGTAAATAGATATAGTACACCTAAAATATTAATTTGAGGTGTACTATGACTAGGGGTGTAACAACACATCGATTTGTATTGATATATTGTTTCAATGGCAAACGATCCAATTCATCAATATGACCACATAAATATCGATACATGCGTTTTTGTTTTCTCGCCTGTTCCAGTATTGTTTTCATGATCCACTCCGACGTATACATGGTCTATATCAGGGGTGCCCAATACGTCGATCGCGATCTACTGGTCGATTGCAAAGGTAGTGTGTGTAGATCGTATGGCATAAAAAATAGAGGATGGATGACGTGTTCAACCGCACCCAGCTGCTGCAAGCTACCGAGTCGCCTAGTTAGCCTCCAATTTATCTTCAATTTAAAAATACTTTATTCATCCCAAAGGGAAATTAATAATAATAGTAATAATAATAAATAATATTAAAGAATACTCAATATTTTTATACCTAAATATATGTTTTTCATTTTTATAGTAGGTAGATCATTCTGACTGTCATTTATAAGTAGCTCGCAAGCTAGCATACCTTCAGAGCGTGTGTTTAGTACGGCAGGTGACATAGGACGCTATGCTCAGAGCACACAATCTCTTGAACACGTTGACCATTTAATTTTTCTTTAAAAAAAAAAAAAAAAAAACCTCTCAAAGAAGAATACTGACATACTTGTTTCACCGCAGAAGTCAGTCTGTTGATCTTCCTCATTCTCCATGTCTGTCCATGCAATGTTTTTTATTTGACTTTATTGCATTTTATTTTACTTGTTATTGTTGTATCCCAGCGTAGGGCGAGTGAGCAGGGAACGAGGAATCAGGGTCAAGCAGACGGAAATCCAAGAAACGGGGGGGGGGGGGATTGCAAGCACAGCACACAACACGGGGAAAACTACTTCAATGACAGATCTGGGTGACAGACTCTGACGTGGACTTAAATACACAGGACTAGACGAAACAATAAGAAACAGCTGGGAACAATCAGGATTGCACGCGAAGTTAATGAGGGGCATAGCACACGAAAGGGTCATACGAGTAGGTCATGACAGTTATGGACATACTTTTGGTTACAGTATTGTATTTGTCTGGAGAGGACAAAAAAAAATTAGTCACCATGTTAATCTACATCCATCCATATTTTTATTTTTACCTTATTGCACTTTATTTTGCTTGATTTATGGGACATACTTGACTACACTAGATTTTGTTTACAGTTCCCAAAAAAATATGATAAAATGCTAATTATATTTGCCTTTTTTAATTCATTGAAATGTAAAGGATTGTGTGAAATTTCATCATTTCGACTACTATCCACAGTGTGGAACTGAATCAAATCGAATCGTATCGTATCGTGGGAATTTCTGAGGCATCAAAAAAAACCGAACCGTTAGCTTAAGGAATCGATATTGTTTCGTATCGTGAGGAAAGCTGTGATTTATACCCCTAACTATGACACCCAGTAATCTGTATAAATTCGGCCTGTCTTTGTTTAATAAATGCGTTGGACTTTTAACTTCAAAAAGTACCACCAAACTACCGACATCTGTTTACCTTGTTTATCCACTATCTCCTTTTTTAAAAGATGATGTGGCTGCTGTTCTGTCCCTTTCTTCACCACGACTTCCGTGCTTATTGCTTCTATGATTTACCAAAACAGTAGCATGTAGTGTGCTCCGCTAACCAAATTTAATAAACATACAGATATGTCAAATTTATACAGATTACGAACTTTTGGCTCTCACAATAGGCCTCTCATTAATATTTCAATATTTTAGGGTCTGGACAAATGTTTATGTCCGTCATCTAAAACCCTGGTGATTATTGTGCCCCCACCATGTAATCGTCACTGTATTGCAGTGCGATACTGTGCCACCCCAGTCATATTTCTCAGACAGAATAAATTCTGGAATATCCATTTCAGTTTAGTTTGTGTGATTAAGCCTTTGGCTTGATGAACAAATGTGATAGTAGCACCAGAGAGAGAACCTCAGGTGCTGCATCCTTACTCTGCCAGTGTGCAGATGCTAAGCTAAGCCGGGACGTTTCTTTTAGCACTACGAGGCCCTGGCGACACGTGCCTCCACCAATGGCCACATCATTGACATCTACGCCTGTGCGCTGGACCAGACCGGCCTGCTGGAGATGAAGTGCTGCGCCAATCACACAGGGTGAGTTTCTGCCCACCACTGGCAGCTCTCCCTTCGTTTGGTTCGGTTAGTTTGGTTCGGTTGAGCTGAAAATTAGCATAGAGTAATGGATATTTTTGATGTCACATTTGAATCCCCCTCCCCAGAGGTTATATGGTCATGGCAGATTCCTTCAATACATCCTTGTTCAAGCAGACCTTCCAAAGGGTTTTTACCAAAGATGTTCAAGGGTCTTTCAAGATGGCCTTTGCTGGCACCCTTGAGATAAAGGTAAGCTTGGATTTCTGTATGCCTGACATTTGTTTTTAAAAAACATCCGACTTCATGCATGGATACAACAGAGTGGCTATTAATAATCCCCTTTAATTTCTGCAACATTGAAACTAGCATCTGAAAATTGTGGTCTCTTTTAGTTTCTGAATATATTTAATGTAAAGCCTGGTAAGTGAAGGCAGGTATTTTGGAAAGTGCTTGACGCTGTGGATCTTTTTATATGTGCGCTTCACTGTCTCTGCCATTGATAAATAGACATCCAGAGAAATCAAGGTATCGGGAGCCATCGGTCCCTGCGTCTCCCTGAATGCCAAGGGGCCCTGTGTCTCAGAGAACGTGAGTATGCTTCTGCAGGGTTTGCCTTCAGGGGAAATGTGCTGTTTGAATGTTTAGTAACCTGCAAGATGGATCGCTTCTCATTTCAGTGGGAATCGCTTCTTAGCTGCAGCCGCATGTCATATATGATGATAGATATCCCTGTACCTCGATTATGCAGGAAATCGGAACAGGAGGGACCTGTCAGTGGAAGATCTGTGGACTGGACCAGAGCTCCACGTTGGCACTCTACTTTGAGGTAGTCAATCAGGTAAGCGTGTGGACTTCTACTATGGCATAATATTCTGCTTTCTTATTGCCTGTTCGTGGTATCTGTATTTTTGCTGAATGTTTGAGTGGTTAGGTCTACTTGGGTTGACCTACACATATCATCCATCCATCCATCCATCCAAGAATGCACTATTATGGTTTGCTATTCTCAGGTGATCCTGGGTGTGTTTTGTTTTTCTTTTTTTAAACAGTCCATTACTGACTAAGATTAGTCTGTGTGCTGTTAAGGCTCACATCAGGCTCCATTTTGGGATTGGGAAAAAGAAATTGACATGGCTGCAGTAACTTCTTAAAATTGCTGGTTTATGCAGTAGTACTTGTTTCCACTAGAGGGCAACATTGTGTTGTAGAAGAGGGTTATACAAGGTGGATGGATGAAAAATGTATCTACTTTCCATAAAACAAAATCATTAAAAAAAATAATAAACTAATACATTTAAGCTAATGTGTTTTCAGTAATTATTTGTTTGGGAATTGTTGCAGATCCAAATTAATTTTCACAGTCAACTGGCATGGTAATTAAATTATCCAGTAAAGCAGAAACAGAGCTCTTAATCGTATTTTTTATTAATAATTGTTCAGATTTTTTAAATGTATATAAACTGCATCATGTGTTTAATTAGGTACTGTTTGCAGTTGATGGTACTACAGTTCTATAGACACGTTTTAGATATTTATCTGGGTTAACCTGTTTTTTTTTTGTTTTTTTTTTTTTACATCATACAGCATCAACAAACACTAATCCAAAGAAAAAGTGAAATACTGGTGAACTCACTTTTAAACTCATTCACATTCCAATTCGTCATACACATCTAATACAAAATACATTCCAGATCAAAGTCTCACACTAACGTTTAGCAGCTATTGAACTGTGTGTATCCATATAATGCACATTTATCTGTATTAAGGAATGAAGTCAACTTTCAGTGCTTCAGTCAGACTGTCTGCCCACTATTGCCAAGGGAACGATTATTTGGAAGCCTTATAAACTCTGGAAATACTTTTGCCAAGATATTCTTGGTAAAGGATTTCTGATGTCATGTGGTGAGAATTGACTAAATCTGAATACCACCCTAGCTCCCCCCTACCCCCCGTTCGTTTTACCCTGATACATTCAGGTGCACCTGCTAGTTAGAATTTGGGGTGTTCCTTTTGGATGCCTGGCCTTGCCCAGTGTACTTGCCTGCTTTCTGTTCTCCATGGCCCCACACTGGCCCTAGCTGCTCAGGTGACTGCAGGCTGGTGGGCAGGGCTCTGCGGTGAGCTGGTTAGGACCCCAGGCAGGACAGCACCCAGCCTGGGGAGCGTGGCTGCAGGCTGGTGGGCAGGGCTCCGTGGTGAGCTGGTTAGGACCCCAGGCAGGACAGCACCCAGCCTGGGGAGCGTGGCTGCAGGGTGGTGGGCAGGGCACTGCGGTGAGCTGGTTAGGACCCCAGGCAGGACAGCACCCAGCCTGGGGAGCGTGGCTGTTCAGGTGACTGCAGGCTGGTGGGCAGGGCTCCGCGGTGAGCTGGTTAGGACCCCAGGCAGGACAGCGCCCGGTTGGGAGAGCGTGGCTGGTCCTCTGCCTCAGCTTCCTGGCACTCCCCCACAGGGCCTCCCTGTATTTCCTGTTAACACAGTGGAGCAGTGTTTCCCAATCCAGGAGGCAACAAAAACGTGGACCGTCTGCCCCCCACCCCCCAGGACTGGATTGGAAAACACTGTGGAGCATTAGTTGTCTTATTGCTATGTTTATTAGCCCCAGCTCACAGTGGATGCCTGCAAGGATTTGGCATTGTCGTTCCATACTATCTTGTGCAGCCAGTTTAATAAATCATATAGAAAGAGAGGGACACCTCGGTTAGGCTTTGGATGCTTGATCCTGTTTTCCGTCTTGTGTTTCAAAGTTACAGGCAGCATAGGCAAAGTAAGAGAGATTTAAAGAATTTGGTGCATAGGTCTGTTTGGAGAAGGACTTGGAATGACTAGCAAAAGTACAGCTGTGGAAAAAATTAAGAGACCACAGCACAATTTTATGTTTCATTTCTCAATTAATGGGTTTGCATCTGTGAATAATACATATATTTTTTGCAAACTGCAGACTAGCTTTTCCCTGTTTCCCATTAATGAAGGGCTTCTTCCTTGCTCTATGGGACTTGAGTCACATAAGTGTCAATGTAATATACAGCTGAGGAAAAACTTAAGAGACCACTCCATATTTTTAAACAAATCTGCACACCTACACTTAATGTTTCCCATTCCTTTTGAAGGTCACTTGATGTTACCCTGCAGTTCATGAGAAACCGACGGATAAGTCAAGTCATCTCTGGCATTAGAATGTCGCTTCCGCCCTTTACCTGGCTGGTTTCTGGTCATTCCTGGTGTCTCCTGCTTCACCTTATTCTTCTGAACTGCTGTCTTAGAAATTTTAAACCTGGAAGCTAGAGGTGGGCGATTAATTCGAATTTACAGTTCAGGACGATGTGTTTTTATGAAAATCGATTTTCTTACTTATTTTACACGCGAGCGCCAAAAGCGGAAGTAAAGCGACGCACCGTTCTTCACGGGTATATTAGCGCGGCGCACCCAAACACTAGCAGATTCACAAACAACATGGCAATGGTTCGGTTTTGCGCCGTCGGGCACAGACCAAACAAGTCCTCCTTGCAATGTCTGTTTAAAAACTGTTGCAACCAAAGGAAGCAGTACGACAAATTTATTCCAGCACCTAAAGCAGAGGTACCCAGCGGAGTGGGAGAAGTGCAGCTCCCAGTGAAATGAAAATAGCCACAGCACCAGCGGAAGTTCAGCAAGCAACCGTCCCTGACGCGTTTTCGAACTGTGTGCCATAAGAATGGGGCACGATGGAAGGCGATAACAAACGCTGTCGCGATGTACATTGTAAAAGACATGGTGCCCATACATACTGTGGAAAAGCCGGGATTCATTAACATGCTAAAAGTTTTTACAAGTTTCTAAAAGTGTTTACAATGCAAGCATCTTTTTTGGCTTGTCAAATTGCACTATTTTTATTTAATTTTTTTTACTTTAGAGTTAAACTTAAAACTAGATTTGAACCATTTATTTGTCGTCTGTAGTTTGATTTTGAGTGGGGGGGGGGGAATCAATTAAAATTGAAAATTTAAAATTTTTAGGCCAAATCGCCCAGCTCTGCTTGAAGCATCCTGCTACTCAGCGTAGCCTTCTGCCAGCAGAACCACGATTAAACCTGGATTTAAAAATGCAGATTTGTTTAAAAATATAGTGTGTCTCTTAAGTTTTTCCTCAGCTGTACATTACCTTGACACTTTTATTGTGACTGTTTTCTGGGAATATGATATAGGAGAAATAGACTAGTTCAGCAGTCTTGTGACCATTTTTTTTTTTTATGGACTGTAAACGCCTCAAAATAAGTTTATTGTATTGGTCAAAAAATTTCACTGACTTATATTTGATTCTGCACATAACTGTTTGCTTTCTAGCCGTTCATTTCTTTGTGTGTTTGTTTCTGTATATTGGACCTACTTCTGTGTCATGCAGTTGATCCAGGGGTTTAAAGCAGAGGTGAGCAGAACCAGCCAGGTTGCCAGGGCGTTGGCCCACACGGGGCTCTCTCGGCTGGTGAAGACCTCGTAGAAGCAGGTGATGATGTAGGGCAGCCAGCATACTAGGAGACAGGCTGTGTGGGGTCAGAGGGGGGGGGTGGGAAGTGTCTGTAAGTCATGCCAGCAGACACCCCCTTTATGTAGTGCTTTAGATCTGGGGGAGATCTGTCTGTCAGCAGCGCTGCCTGTGCTCAGATACACCCCCTCAGGCCAGCTGTCATCTCTGTGCTCAGCACATCGCTGCTGATGTTCAGCTGTGAGGCTCACACTTGGTCAGCTTTGCTCTACATGTTTGACTCATTAAAACGCTGTGTTTGACTCATGGTTTTGTGTATTAAACATTACTTTTCATCTAGTAAAAGCATCTCTTACATAAACCCAAATGACTGATTTTCTTGTTTCAGCCATGTAACAAATATTTTCAATGAAGATGTAGATGAACAATAATCTGAAGTATAGTTAATAGACAAGACTTGCATAAATTGCAAAAGTTTGTTTTCATTGTCAAGTATAATCCCCACCTCCCCCTATTTTGTTTTGTAGTATGTGTGCCGCTGCTGTTATTGTATTAAATTGGCTCAAACCATACTTGGAATAGGAGATGATAGCTTTCTATTCAGTCTGTGTATTAGTCTGAACTTACCCAAGGTTGTGGTCATAACCATGGAGCTCCTGAAATAGTTCTTTGCCGGCACGTAGTGGCAGTGCTGTTCATTGCAGATGAACGTCCCCCGCAGGGCTTGGCTCCTGGCGATGTAAACCAGGTAGGTGTACAGGGAGCAGATGACCAGGATGGGAGCGATAACACCTACGCCCAGGAACAGCAGGCTGAGGCCTGTGCCGGAGGAAGGGAAACTGGGTGCGCAGATGAACCTGCCAGCGCTGTAGCGGTACGAGCCGCATCCCAGCAGCGGCAGGGTGGCGCTGAGCAGCGAGTAGAGCCAGAGTAGGGCGAGACTGCCGCGGCTCCTGCTCTTGGTGAAGAGGCGCGGGTACTGCAGCGCAAAGCAGATCTCTGTGAACTTGTCGACGGTGGCCCAGGTGAGGGAGTGCAGGGAGGCTAGCTGGAACAGCACGAAGGAGAAGCCGGCAGCCCAGCAGAGCGGGCCGTCCCCCGCGTACCTGCCCTCTTCACCGCTGCTACCCCCTGCTCCGCCCCACACCCCCAGCAGGCTGTTGTGCACCCCGAAGGGCACGGTGCAAAGCCCCAGAGCCAGGTCACTGAGGCAGACGCTGAGCGTGAGGGCCCATGTCTCTGTGCGAAGCCCCTGGTTAAGGGCCAGCACCAGGAGCAGGGTGATGTTTCCGCACACAGAGGCCACAGTGGTGCAGATCATGGCAGCCGCGTACAAGAGGGCAGCTGAGGGCATCCTCAGTCAGCTAGAGTCCCTCAGTCCTGCCCGCGCTGCCTCCCCTTCCTCTTCCTTGGGTGAGGAGAGCCGCTCCTGCCCGTGCTGCCTTCCTCTTCTTCCTCGGGTGAGGAGAGCCGCTCCTGCCTTTCTCTGTGCTGTTCCAGCTCCCATAGCACTCTACCAGGTCCAGCCAGGGGTTACATTAGCAGAGAAGGAGGCGTAACCCTTCCCTGCTTAGTTAGGAGACCTGAGGATGTTTGAGCAAATGCTGATTGCAGTAACGCAAAGCCCCCTGCAGATGGAGGCTGTTTATAGGCCGCCTGTCGGCTGATTAATGCCCGTGACCCATTCCTGGTTGGTTTGTTTTTGTCTACTAATGAGGGCCATTTTCCACTCTGCCACTGGGATTGTAATTGGCAGGAAGTGTGATTCTAATCCACCCTATTAAACCTTAATCATTAATTATTACATCTCCTGTTTCCTGAGCTCACGCCACAATTAGCCATCATGCATTTTTTAAATGGTTTGATTGTTTTTAAGAAGGATTTTAAGATGTTTCCATCAATAGCATCTGCTTTTCGCTTATCAAATAAACAGGGTTTTGAATTTGAGTTGTCCGTAGCAGGATATTTACAAATGTACATCAGAGCATATGTCCACAGAACACTGTGCTTGCAGTATCTAATTTTTCTTTTTCTAAGTTCAGCTCTATGGATCTGGGTAATATTCTGATATATCTTTGGAATTGTTGCAATATAATGGCAGATCTGATTTCTCAGTAAGGAAGTGCTGAATGTACACCTTGACCCCTCTGAATGGCTAAAATGTGTGCTGTTTTAATTGCAGGTTTTATGATTGCAGGTTTATTCTTTTTTATCTGGATATCTTTCCAGACTATTGCAAATGATGTATGTCGATTAAGGACATAATAGCGGCATTCCTTCTGGAACTTAACCATCAAATGCTTTTTTTTTTAAACCCATGCTTAACCACCAAGTCAGCTAATTGGGCAGGAGCAGAAGCATATGAAAGTTCTCTATGCATTAATGCATTTAAAGTAAGGTGACTTGCATAGTTGTTGTTGCATATGCTGTTCTCTGTTTAGGAAGTATGTTTTAGGTGTTTATCATATGCTGCGGTCTTTCCATGGACACATAGTGATTTTTTTTTTCCCCATAAGGTTATGGAAAATCTGTCACCCATGTAAACATGTTATTGCACCGTGGATATTGTTTTACATTGGTAGCTTGACGCAGTCGTGTTGGTAAGGATAAGCGTGGATTCTTTGGGTACTAACACCCAAAGCAAACAGAGGCTATTATGTAAATGTTCTTGAACGTAACTGATTTACTGTACTGCCTCTGTGTGCCTTTTCAAAGATATCACGCAGCGATCTATAGTGCATTTGGCATCTGCATTGTAAATTCAGTTTAGCGTGAGAGGGGGTTTTCGGATGTCGGCAGTGCTTATGAACAATGCCTTGTATTGTGAAGGTAAGATAAGCAGGACTAACTTGCTGAGTGTCGTTAGAGAAGACCGCTCAGCTGTTACCTGGGCTGTGTTCCACTAAGCAGGATTTCTGAGTTAGCTGGATTGACTTAAGATAGAAGTTATGATTGTCCAATAGGAACGCTCCTTACCCTAAACTCTTATTGGTAGTGATACACCAATAGGGAAAATTCTGGCCAATACCGATAGCGAGTTATTTAAAAAACTGACACTGATACCGATTGTTTTGGAGGTTTTGCAGATTCAATAAATTGAGAGACACTCCACACAAGTAAATTATAATATAAATTAATTGCATTCGAAAAATATGAAAAAGTATTTTTTTGGTAAGGAAACACCAACTCTGGCATACAGCGACTGTCCCAGAGCACTATATGCATCTTTTATATATTTATGCCATTTATAACAGATAAGGGCTGATCAAGTGTGAATTTTCTGAGTAATACCTTTGGATATTGCGCTGTCTGCACTGAATTTTCTTTTGCTATCAAACGCTTGCATTACTGAGGGACTAGCGTTACTCAGCAGTACTGCAGCCTTCTTTATAGGAACAGATTTGTTTTTCAGAAACTCTTCAGTCTCACCTTAAAGTGCAATCAAATTTGTTGTGTTGAAATTTTTATTAGTAGATCCTCCTAGTGAAATTTTAGCAGTTTTCAAAACGCATTTCTAACATAATTTTCGCTAACATTAAAATAATTCCACATGGCAGACAGATATTTTTCTAACTGTTTAGTACGTGGGTGTGCATAGCAATGAAGGTCACCATTTTAACGGAAATTATCAGCAGTAAGTATCGGCTGATTTTTAAGCATCGGCCAATGGCTGATTGTTGCTGTATTGGCCAATACCTATTTATACCTAGTTGGCAGATACAATCGGTGCATTTCTACTTGTTGGACAATCGTAATTATTATCTTAAGTTAATCCAGCTAACTGAGAAATCCTGATTTGTGGAACACCCCCCGGTGGTGATTTTTAGTTTCAGTTTGGGTTACATATGCGTCTGTCTCACCCTGCAGCACAACGCGCCCATTCCCCAGGGTGGTCGTGGGGCAGTCCAGTTCGTAACCCAATACCAGCACTCAAGTGGCCAGAGGCGCATCCGTGTCACCACCATCGCCCGGAAGTAAGTCGTGTCCCCCACCCCCCCCCCCCCCCCGGCTCTGCCTTGATGTATACATCAAGCTTGTATGTGAAGCCTGTATGTGAAGCAGAGCTAAGAACTCCATGCTAAAGCCATCTGAAGGCTGATCACGCGAATGAGTCCATAGACCCCGATTATAACATGATTACGAAGACCTGGAGGTCTTTATTAACCTCTGTCATTATGTAGAACTAGTCTTTCTAACAGGGGACCAGTCCCTGTACAACAGGTGGCAGGACAGCACCTCCTGTTGCTTTGGGAAGGGAAGCACACCTGCACCGTGCTGCTGCTGCTGCTTTTGCTGCTGTGTCCAGTCCCAGTTACAGTACAGATACGCATGTACACAGGCTCTTGAAAAATGACTAAGTTAAGACTGTGGCATGGTCTTTGATGCTTTTATTTTGCTGATTAAATATGCAGTCCTATGCAGATTTATAGTTCAGTTTGTCACTCAATGGTATGTTGCTGCTATAGCTTACAGGCCCCAGAAACTGCATTAGGATATGGGTGTGCAATGCAGTAAGGGTCACCATTTTAAAGGGAATTATCGGCAGTAAATATCGTCTGATTTTTCGGATGATCACTGGCAGTTTTTATAGCTGCTCCTCCTGCACTCAGGTGGAAGTGCTCTCCTCTCTGCCCCATTTTTGTGGGTATTTTTTTGAATGAAAGCCAGTCTGCAAGCTGACCTTTGTAGTGTTCTTCACAATCGCCGACGGTGTGGCGCACTCTGGTCCCCAGAGCATAAGATGTGCATTTCAGGGCTAATTATCACTTGTGTGATCTGCAATGAGTTTACTTAGTCTCCATAGGAACAAGTATTTACTTATCAGGGGGAAAATCAATGTCTCTGCTGAGGGTAGACAAAGGATTAGTCATGTCTCTTAAAAGGGAGTCTGTCCTACATGTAATGTTCAAAAATGCACACTTTCTAACCCAAACACTTGCTGTTGGCTCTAGAAAATGGCACATAATTCTGTGTGTGGTATTTTTAATCCATCCTGATACTGCTTATTCACAAAATAGTGGTAGTAACCTTCATGAGCTGTAGCAAAGAAGCAAAAACACTAATTGGATTATATGAAATTGTATATTTTGAGACCATCTCCTGTGGGTGAGATGTAGTGGTTTTCCATTGATTTTCAATAAGGGTAGGAAGACTATATAATTACATGATGTGCATGATTTTTTTGTAGACTAAAAGGCTTCTGGATGATGTGTGTTATGTTCAGCCCAGGTCTCAGAAGTCTTGTGTTTTGCCCTGGAGACACAAGAAAATGTTGTGCTATAAAAAAGAGGAGAATCAAAAAGGCACATTTGTATAAATTTTTATTTTTAGCCTTGTGAGTTGTGACATATGGAGTCAGCATGAAACACTTGACATTTTGTTCTTTTAAATAATGATGTTCTGTAATTCCAAGAACAAATAGTTAGTCGTACTTTAAGTTCCTCATCAAGTGATGACTGATTGTTTTTACTGACACTGTTTTATGTGTTATCATTTAAATTGAATGGCTAAACAGCTGTCTAGCATGGTTGCTAGACTTTAATAGGCAGATGTTAACTGAATGGGGGCCCGCCTCCCCACAGCTGGGCCGACGCGCAGACGCAGATCCAGAGCATCGCCGCCTCCTTCGACCAGGAGGCCTCGGCCATCTTGATGGCTCGCTTGGCCGTGTACCGGGCTGAGACTGAGGAGGGGCCCGATGTCCTGCGTTGGCTGGACCGCCAGCTTATCCGCCTGGTGGGTAGAATCGGCTGGGGGGGTGGCTGCTCTTTGGGCCTGTGCCTGTGTCTGGCTGTCTGTGTGTGTCAGTGTCTGTCTGTCTCTGCATGTCTGTGTGTGGGCCTGTGTATCTGTGTCGGTCTGTGTGTGTGTGTCAGTGTCTGTCTGTCTCTNTGTGTGTGTGTGTCAGTGTCTGTCTGTCTCTGCATGTCTGTGTGTGGGCCTGTGTATCTGTGTCGGTCTGTGTGTGTGTGTGTGTGTGTGTGTGTGTGTGTGTGTGTGTCAGTGTCTGTCTGTCTCTGCATGTCTGTGTGTGGGCCTGTTTATCTGTGTCGGTCTGTGTTTGTGTGTGTCAGTGTCTGGCTGTCTCTGCATGTCTGTCTGTGTGTCCATGTCTCTGTGTGTCTGTCTGTAAATAAACATGCCTCCACAATGGTTTTACATTATCCATTTCCAGGAACTTAGTCTCTTCTTTAAGGAAAGTCCCCAGTAGATTCAGACTCTTAATGATCTGGTGATTACAACTTTTGAGGCAGACCTTATACACTTAACACTGCCAGTTGACCTGAAGTGTGTCCTGGTACTTTTTCTCATGACTTGGCTGAATAGTAACAGAGAGATCCTCCATGAGTGACACAGTTGGGCCCAGACGCCTGCTCTCTGGATGCCAGTGAGATGATCTCTGTGTAAATCCCACCCGCGGCCACCGTTTCCCTTCTGGGTGTGATTGTGTTTTCTGCACAGTAGCTACTGCTCAGTTATGTGTTGTTTGGCTCTTCTCTGAAGGTTGTTTAAACACTGTCACTTTTTGTATTAGTACTACCGATTCGTTTTGGTACAGTGCATGTAATCTGCTTTCGCTTTCTTTCGGGTTTAGTGCCAGAAGTTTGGAGATTACCATAAGGATGACCCCAATTCTTTCCGGTTCTCTGAAACTTTCTCCCTTTACCCACAGGTAGGTCACAGAAATTAAGGGTTCAGGTGCTGCCCCTGCTTTGTGTGGATATGGAATTTGTATGTTGTCCCCCCTCTGTGTGGGATTCTTCTGGGTACCCCCCATAGGTCAAAACAAAGCACTTAAGCATTTCCAAATCACCCACATGGTACCATTTTGTATGTATATGCACCCTGCTATGAACTGTCATCCCAGCTCCGATGCCCCCCCCCCCCGCCCCCATCCCCGGTGCACTGTGCCTCCTGGGTTGGGCTCCACACCCACAGGATAAGTGGCTGGAAAATGAATGTTTACAAAATTGCACAATATTCTGCTATATTTATAATCTGGTAGTAATTGATGTTGGAAAAGGAACGGGAAAGTCAGGGGAGTTAGAAACGAATGTGTTTTGCATCTCGAGTGAGTACTCTCATGTATAGCAAAGGAGCCCCCTCACAGTGCTGCCTGTCCCCCGCAGTTCATGTTCCACCTGAGAAGGTCGCCCTTCCTGCAAGTGTTCAACAACAGCCCGGACGAGAGCTCCTACTACCGGCACCACTTCATGCGGCAGGACCTGACCCAGTCCCTCATAATGATACAGCCCATACTCTACGCCTACTCCTTCAACGGCCCCCCTGAGGTTTGCTGCACACACCCTGCCTTCCTTATATACGAAGGGCTGCTTCCATACACATCACATACTGCAGTGCGGCTCTGCACACCTCATCTGCCAGTTCTGATAAATAGCTTTTTCCCTCAGTGGCTTAGGGAAACCACACATCCTGTCAAATAAACATTAAAAGCGAGGTAGTTTTGAGCTTTGAGCAAGAAGAGATTTTTTTTTTTTTAAAGCCAGGTTTTGATTATGAAATAACATGCACAGATTTCAAGCTTTATTATTATTTTAAATAATGTGAAGCTTCCATAAGAAAAAATGTGAAATAGGAAATTTCTCATTTTAGTTCAGGAGTGCTGGTACACTATTCTTAATGGCTATTCTTAATTAACCTTATTACATATGAACATGAGGAATGACATTTAATTGATCATGCATGGAGTTTGGGTTTTCCTTGTGGTTTTTGGTGGTTTCAGTCTCCTGTGCTGTGTTGGGTGACACCTGACAGGCTGATTAATATCTGAGGGCTTCTGATTTTTCCGTAGCCCGTCCTCCTAGACAGCAGCAGTATCCTGCCTGATCGCATCCTCCTCATGGATACCTTCTTTCAGATTCTCATCTACCACGGAGAGGTAATGATCCGCCCATGTTAACACTGTCCTCTGTGGGACTGTGCACTGCCGGGCTGAAGGTAGCCATGTATGGCAGGTTATTACTCTTTATGGAACATTTGCTTTAAGAAGGTCTGGTCGAGAGAGGGCATTTTTCCACCGCACCTGGTACCGTACTTTTGGTACTTCGAGAAGGTACCAAAAGTATGGTACTTCGAGGTGCTGGTTTTCTACTGGTGTTAACTGGTACCAACGTCGAATGACATCACAACTTCAGGCAGGGTATTTTGTACTAAATTCAAAAAATGGCTGTAGTATATTATAGGACTGGACAATGTGCAATATTAATACCAACATGGCATGTTTTGCACATACAACTCTTACATCGCTAGTCAGCTATTAAAATGTTTTTTTTTTTTCTTACTTCCAGTTCTGTACGGACTTCATAGTGCAGGGGTTAAAGTTTTGCTAAAATATTTTTACTCTGTTATTCTGTCATAGATAAGAAACTTAGCAAGCTTTGCAATTTAAATTTTAATTCAGTTTATAGATTCTTATATGTTTACCTCCACTTCTTTTGCATTAGCGCTGCATGCATTCTTCGAGACAATCGTAATCATTTTCATCCTGGCCGTTTAAATCACTCAAAGACAGGTTTGAGAGAAATTTATGAACTTTTTTTGTTTTATAAATACCCCAGTATTTATTGCAATAAAATAACATCGCTATATTTATAACAAATTCACATCGCTAGTATATTGAATATTAATAGTATGTTCAACAAAATACTTTTTCTCATCCTTTTTGTCATGACATCTGGATCGTTGTTGTATTTGTTCTGTATATGTATAGGACCGATTTTATCATTTTTTTTAATTTTATTTTTTTACTTCATTTATCATTATTCTCTGATTTCTGATTTGTAATCCGTTTTCAAGGCAGTGTTTGTATTGCGTTTTAGAGGCAGTGTTTGTATTGCGTTTTAGAGGCAGGCTATTTGCATAACCAATTGATAAAGTAAGTCCCACCCCAAAGTACCAAAGTAGTACCCCAGCTGTTTTGGCACTTTTGGTACTGGAATTTTTGGTACTGGTATTCGACTGGAAGTCATTGTAAAAGCGAAAGTACCGTACTAAAAGTACCATACTTGGTACGGTGGAAAAGAGGCGGCCCTCACCTCTGTCATTATATATTTTTTTCATGAAGAGCTGTGCACAACTTAGAAACTGCAGGCTTCTTGTCACTCTCAATGGGGCATTTAGAAAGGCCGCCTTATCACAAGCGCCCCCCACCACCACACCACCATTTTTAACAGTAGACTGCTGTCGTGTTTTTGCAAGCTTTCAAGAGAGAGCAGTGGTTTCCTTCAACCAGCTCATTATCTTCTGGTTCTCAGAGTGAAAGTAATATAACTTTGCTCAGTGGTGCTAATGAACCGGAGTGTTTATTAGGCTCTCTGTCCCCAGCATGAGATCTGTAGCTACAGGTGAATATCAGGCCCTTTGTGTTTGGGAAAAATAATAAGGATATACCATTGCTTCTGTATCACAGGTGAGTCATTCTCCTGAACAGCCAACATTACTCAGACTTGAGGGTACTCCATTGGTGGAGCCAGACCGTGTGATAGGCCCCCGCGGTCACTGAAATTGGCAAAATCTACCAAGGGCCCCCACTGGAAGATTTTATCGGGGGCAGTGGACTCCTGTTCTAATTAAATGAACTGCTTGCATGTGGTTATTTGAGTGGTGGACTTGTAGACTTTTCCTGAAAAGATTGTTTGATAACCTCATGGGATTCCAGTGACGATCATTAAGTAGCCCTTTGTAATTCTCCTGTGAAGCGAATCGATGCTAAGGAGGATGTCAGGGCAGAGAGCACATCCACGTATGGTGGCTGGGGGAATTCAGAGCTGGAGACTCAGCAAATGAATGTCATCTGGCTTGGCTTTAGTGTGGACTAAAGGTTTGAAGAGGCAGAGGAACTGTCAGATAGCTACCCGTTTGTGGAGCTAAAAGAATCGCAGCTAATGGACCTAGCGGGTTTAAAGTCTACATGGTGTGATGACTCTGTGCTGCCATGCCAGGCTTTGGATAGGATAGCTGTTGTGTGATGACGTGCCTTTGTCTATGCAGACAGTGGCTCAGTGGAGGAAGGCCGGGTACCAGGAGATGGCAGAGTACGAGAACTTCCGGCACCTGCTGCAGGCCCCGGTGGATGACGCACAGGAGATCCTGCACAGCCGCTTCCCCATGCCGCGCTACATCGATACAGAGCATGGCGGCAGCCAGGTATCTGCCAGGGCATGACCTTCAGCCCACACTCTGTCTCCCTATCAGCTGGGACACACTCTGTATTTGGTGCGTTATTTTGGTTTCTGTGCAAAACGGGGGCATCGTTGGACTGATCTGTTTGGTCTGCAGGTTGTACATATGTTTTGGCTCCAGATGAGACTCGCATATGCACAGTTACTCAGCTCAGAATACACTACTAATCAAAAGCTTTTGCACACCACAGGTTTTTACCACTTTTCCATTTATTTCATAAACTGCAGACTTTTTATTCTTGTTAAGCATTGGAAAGTTGAGTGAAGAACTGTACATGAAAATATGTCACAATAAGTTTCTTTTATAACATGAGAAGAGTATGTAACAGTGCATGTCTGATCCTATTAACTGGTTCTGTGGTGATGGCATAGTCAATTCTAGATTGTCCTTTAACTTCAAATACACTAGCTAACTGTTTCATCCCACAAAACAGAACAATATTTAATATCCCTAGTAGAAATGAATGCCTTGATTTTTCTCTGCTGTTATTACTTTGAATCAAAGACATTTTCTTGCTAATAAAGGTACTTAAATGGTGAACATACTGTAAAATTGTTAGCAAAGAATAGACTGTGTTTTTGGAAAATGTTAGGTGAGTAACATACAAATGTAGAAAATCTCTGTGCGCAAAAACCTTTGCTTGGTGTAGTGTATTTCGCGGTGATATACACAGGCTGCATGTGCTGTTTGGTGCCTGGGGCTTCTGGGCTTAATTGCTAGAAATGATGTAAAACACAAAGTTATATGTTATATGTGCTGTTGTCTCTCCCTGCTTTCATAGGCTCGTTTCCTGTTGTCGAAAGTAAACCCCTCCCAAACCCACAACAACATGTATGCATGGGGGCAGGTAGGAGAACATGTCTCCTGAACAGATATCAGCCCTTGGTTCCAGTTTGTCATTTAGTGCTGCTGTTTAATGATAAAAAAAACGATTGACAGTATAGCTGGAGATAACGGACTACTAAAGCCTATTATATAAAAAAATTTGGGTTAAATACAATGATTCGTAATAATGAATGCACATACTACTTTGTGACAAACATCGTGTGGCTTCAATTCTTCGGCTTGAGGTACAGTACCGTATGTAGTTATCATTAATATTATTATTGTTCCGACTTACCTACAAATTCGACTTGGGGAATTGATCTCATTCATTACCTGGGGCTGCCTATAGTACATAAAGATCTTCACACTGAAGCAGGGACTCTTTGGAGCCTACCTCAAAATATACTTCTTCATATCGATAAGTTTGACATTATCCAACATTTATTTTTTTTCTGTTTTTAACACCGATGTGAGACTCCTGTGACATTTTAACAATACCATCATTTTGATGTTCATTTTAAGAGAAATGGGAACCATGAATTGACGCAATACATCCTTATGACCTTGTGAGGTTATAAGAACCAGTGCAATGAACATGTCCCTCAGTTTTTGTTCTGTGTTTTTCCGCCCTTCAGGAGTCGGGCGCGCCAATCCTGACAGATGATGTGAGTCTGCAGGTGTTCATGGACCACCTGAAGAAGCTAGCCGTGTCCAGCGCTGCCTGAAGATGTGAGAGATGCTTATACTCGCAGTACTTCATAGCAGCACGCCCCTCTGCACGCCCACCAACACTGGCTAGTGTCTTCAGTGCCCCTGTGAGAAAAGGCTACATGGACTGCAGACAAACAAGACCAACTGCAAAGAGGAAAAAATACCTTCTTGTCTTTTGAGCATAGCAACAATGTACAGATTTAGGACCATTATACCTCAGATTATTTGATTCAAAAAGTAATTTAATACATGGCAGTGTGATGGGCTGGGATGAGTCTCAAACACTACATTTTTTCCTTCTTCAAAACCGGCATCACACTGAAGTGGAGTTGTGTTTATTGTTCTGGATGTAGTATTCTTATGCCAATATTGATCTGCCTAGCTAAGAATTCAGCAGTCAGTCTCCATAGCCCAGGAGTTCAGGCAGGATGCAAGACTGAATCATACCTTTAATTAAAAAAAAAAGTGAGCTTCTGAATTGTTTGCTGTACCAGACCTGGAGACTGTCATACCCCTTAGGCTAAGATGTGTGATAATTGTTTCGCTACTCTGCTCCTAGTGAGTCTTACAGCAATGTTTGTCTCCAGTAGTTCCAGTGGGGATTCAAGCCAGTGCTTCTCATTGCAGACTTGCACGGAATGACAGCTGCCTTTGTCTATGCTATTTCTGCCTTGTTTGTAACAGTATTAGCTCTGGTCTTTCTAATAAAAACAAACCTGTCATACCACCAACTGCAGTGTGCCAAGAGCTTTCAAATGAGTGCTGATGCCTTGGATGCTGAACATGCCTGTATGGAATACTCCCTTTTATCCTTAGATTTATGGATGGTTGTTAATCGTATTTATTTCCAGTGTGAATTTTGGTAAAAGCAGTGTGCTCCTTTATTTGGCTTCAGATTATGAAGTGGTCCAATTCATGAACATTAACTGTGACGACAATGCTGCAGGAAACACTTCATAAATTGAAATGTCAGACACAAACAGCTGTGTAAAAGAAAAAAGTCATAGGGAACATAAATGGGCTTTTAAAAGCAGATTCTTTTGTGAATAGATGCTTTTTATTCATTCCACCCCAGAGTAAATACCCAATAACCTCTTCCAAATAATTATTGTGCACAATTGAACATTAATGCCCATTATGTAATTTCTGGGCATGTTAGTTGGAATGTCTGTGCTTGACAAAAAAGAGTTTGACCTTTATATTGCCCCTGAAACACTTAGAATAAATGCTTTTTGGTACATTTTGGGTTTATGAAAGTCGAATAGCAGCCTAACCTAATATGTACAAGCAATTATTTTTTTCCACTTGATCATCAGTGTTTAGATCTTACAGCTGGCTTTGCACTCAAGCAGTTCTGTACTTGTTTGAGTTCAAACTACACTGGCATAATTAAACCAAGGCGTCTTGTCCATCTTGTTTTGCAGTAATTCAGATTTACAGATGGTGCACACTGTACTTTATATGGGTGAGCTTTAAACCCTGACTTTGGGTTAGTGTGCTTAGTATTTTACTTACTGATATTTTTATAAGTAAGGCCCTTGGTATATTCACTGTAGGACTAATGTCATGTTCTATCTTCCATACATACTTGTAACTAATTCCTTGCTTGAGCGTGAATAACAATAACTATCATATCGGTTTCTTTAAACTGGGGCTGTGACTGGATAGTCATACTAACATAATGTGTTCGCTATTAGTTTATTGTTGTGCTCAGCTTTATGTGTAGTTCAGCATATTTTAAAATATTTTTTTAATGTCCAGTTACAGATTTATCACAGTATTCAGTGTTATTAAAGTTTATGTGAATGTAGAAATAGCCTAGCAAGGTAGATCATCACACTGACCTTGCCTTTTGAGGATTTGAGGAACAGCTGAGAAGAACAAGGGCAGAGCTGCATAAATGGAGTGTCTGTGTTCCTCTGACAAGTACTTTGAACATTTTTCTGACTTTGTCTGCTAGGGTGTGGCACACTTCCAAGGTGAGGACTGTGTCACAGTGTAATAAATTTGCCCAGAATCACGGAAGAGGTAGGAAGTCAATTGCAAAGCTTAAAGGAAAAACACTGGACAGGACGATGTTGAAATCTCTTTCCAGTCGCCAGGTACGTGACGTTAAATCGTATCGCTGGTACTTACAGTTGTGTTCAGAATAATAGCAGTGTGTCTAAAAAAGTGAATAAAGCTGAAAATCCTTATAATGGTTTTATTTCCATACAAGCAAATGCATTGGGAGCACTACACATTCTATTCCAAATCAAAACAAGAAGAGAAATTCATCACATTTGTGTTATTCCAGAAAGTGAAGGAAAGGAAATATTAGGCTGTTCAAAAAAAATAGCAGTGTCCACATTCTTCTTTACAAAAGATTCACTGTATGAACTGAAAAATGTTTTGTATGGAGTCGACCAACTGCTGGCACCTGTGAACAGGTATTCCAGCCCAGGATGATTGGACTACATTCTACAGTTCTTCTGCACTTCTTGGTTTTGCCTCAGAAACAGCATTTTTGACGTCACCCCACAAGTTTTCTATTGGATTAAGGTCCAGGAATTGGGCTGGCCATTCCATAACGTCAATCTACTGGTGTGTTTGGGGCCGTTGTCTTGCTGAAACATTTCAAGGGCATTTCCTCTTCGGCATAAGGCACCATGACCTCTTCAAGTATTTTGAGGTATTCAAACTGATCCATGATCCCTGATATGCGATAAATAGGCCCGACACCGTAGTATGAGAAACATCCCCTTATCATGATGCTTGCACCACCATGCTTCACTGTCTTCACAGTGTACTGTGGCTTGAATTCAGTGTTTGGGGGTCATTTGACAAACTGTCTGCGGCCACTAGACCCAAAAAAAATAATCTTGCTTTCATCAGTCCACAAAATGTTGCGCCGTTTCTTTTTAGGCCAGTCAATGTGTTCTTTGGCAAATTGTAACCTCTTCAGCACGTCTTTTTTTCAGCAATGGGACTTTGCGGGGGCTTTTTGCAGATAGCTTGGCTTCATATAGGCGTCATCTGATTGTAACAGAACTCACAGGTAACTTTAGACCTTCTTTGATCTTCCTGGAGCTGATCATTGGCTGAGTCTTTGCCATTTTGGCTATTCTTCAATCCATTCGAATGGTAGTTTTTCGTTTTCTTCCACGTCTTTCAGGTTTTGGTTGCCAATTTAAAGCATTTGCGATCATTTTCTGGACTTCTTTATATGTTTTCCCCTCAACCAGTCAACTTTTTAATCAAGGTACGCTGTTCTTCTGAACAATGTCTGGAATAACCCATTTTTACTCAGAATTTCAGAGAGAAATGCACTATAACCAGCATGTACAACATTTACTGCCTTCCTTACTTAAATAAGGCCCATAATTGGCACCTGATTTTTCACAGAATGAATGACCTCACTAATTGAACTTCACACTGCTATTATTTTGAACACGCCCCTTTCAATTAATGATTCGATTACACAGAATCAGCAGCATGCATGTCACGACTGTTGGGTCTGTTGGTTTTCCATTACTCTACTACACCTACTAGTAAATTATTTGCCACGTAGAAATATAATTTCTACCAAATACAGTGATTGATCAGGTTAGTGATGTCGGACTGCTAATTTTGAACACAACTGTATGTGTCAGCAGGGAGGGCTTTCAAACAGGAGCGGTCCTGCTGTGCATCCCTCTCCATTTTAATAGTGTTTACATAGTTCATGTACAGATTTATGGGTGTTGGAAATAAGATTTCTTACCACCTTCTTTCACGTTCTTCTGGTATGTTAGTTTATTCTTGTCCATGGTGGCGTAGTGACTAGCACAGGTGCCACAAGCCTCTTGATGTCTGATAATGATCCCTTTACATGGCACCATTGTGCTGTTTCTTTTTCACAGAAAGACAAACTTGTGGAAGATGAATTGAAGAAGCAATTTGGTTTAATGACCACATGAGGGCACTAGTCACTTGATGTATAACGGAAATCACTCGCACGGTGCCCAGCGCTCCATCCTTTTTAAAGGGCTGTTCATCAGGTGAGTGATGTGGATGCAGAGAGCACAAAGTAGATGCCTTAGACCATACATAAGTGTTACAGTTGAAATGCACACAAAAGCTAAGTGAGAGCTGGCAATTCAGCTGAACCTGGTGACTGAGGAGCAGTGGAGGTCCTAGAGGGGAGCACAGGCAGCTGATGAGCCTGTTCACCTCACCTGTTGCCTTCTTTTTTAAGCCATCAAATGAGACCATGTTCTGTTTTTTGTTATCTCAGCATCCAGATCTCTGCCTGCTGATGTCTGATGTCATTCATCTCCATCCAGCACTTTGCTAAACCCCATTCTCTGCCCCATATTAAGTCCCTGTTCCTCCACCTGTTCCTGTGTCACACAGTTCTGCTGGCCATCCCACTCAGGGCATATCTTACAGTTTTATAGAAATACTGTTCTGAGTCATATATAATGCAATTCTGGCTCCCAACCTTGGTTCTGTGAGTGTGTGTTGCAGGCGTGTGCAGCGGGGGAGGAATGGAGATGCGTGAGCACCTGCCCCCTTTGCCCAAACTATTTAGTCTGTCAGACTTTAAAGGTTTTGAGTGCCCCTTTAATATATGTGTCAAAGGCTTTGAGCGCCTGCCCCTCAAACTCTCTGCACGGTACTGGTGGAGATCAGATGTTCTGCCCACATTATGAGGTCTCCTCCCACAATCCTCCTCCCTAAACTGCCCTTGGTGTTTGATTGGTTGTCATCTTGAGCCTCTCCATCCTGTGACATTTCTAACTGAATAACTGAATAGGATGCTTGCATGTATATATGTTAGTTAATCATTACCAAATGCCATTTTCTGCATTTAGTGCTGTAAATAAAACATTGACCTCTGCTCTCAGCAATGCTGTGGAAGCCATTGAGCTATGACGGATTGCGAGGCGGCACATTTTACCTGCCTTACATTCACAAAATGTAATTTCATAACTTTTATGTTATCGTATTTGTTGGCTATTTGATCAAGAATTCAGGTTAAGTATCTCTCTGAAGGATATACAAATTGATTGAGTTAATATAACTGTAGAGTAAAATATAACTTTATTAAAATATACAGAATGGGCTGATGTCTAGCTAGCTAGACTTGTTGGCAGAGGTTTTTTTTTTGTCACTTATATTTGATATAGGCTAATCCAAACTTCTGTCAAATTTTAAATAGTTTGACAAAATCCTTTCTTGCATAATACAAAAAACCTTGACAGATTTATTACTTAAACCAATATTACTGTACCTCACCAATGCTAATCATTCTCTGACAAATACCTACTTTATAATTGAAAATGTAGCTGATTTTGTTTTTTATATCTTTGTTAATTCCTGTATGTGTTCTTGGACATTCCTTTAATTTCACAAAAACCCTGTCCCTCTACACTGCCTTTTTCAGAGCACAGTTTTAGGTTTTTACTAAAAGGTTTAGCTAAAACTATTCACAAATAAGTAGCTAAATGAAGCAAGGCCTCCAAGATCACATACAGTAGGAGACCAGTCAAATTATGTTGTCAATAGAAAATGTTACCATGGAGACTGCATTAACAGGTACTAAAAAAAAAAAAAAAAAAATTAATTGAACTTTGATGTTTGAGCTTTTTTTAATGTTATTTGGCATGTCAGAATCACTGGTATTTCTTCATAATTTTTTTAGTTTTCCAAAGGTATTGCCTACATAAGTAAAATAGCTAATTAAAGTTACACCATCGATAACCTTGTA